CAATTAAAACGATGCTGGATAAAATGTGTGGCTTCAGAAGGGAACTACTTCGAAGGAGATTAAATGCTGAATTAAGAGGAGTTGTACTTTTTTTGTTTATAGCACCAGTCCTGATACTTTTTGATCAGACCTTCAAACGTCGTTAGAGTGGATACTTCGTATTTGAAATAGACGTCCCATAGCAAACTTGTCAACTGATCCTAATTGCACCATAAACCTTCGATCCTATACTCTTATATATTTCATCTCATACTTGTATAATTTTGAGATCTTTTCTGTTAATTTTCCCTGAACTGTTAATTCATCCCCAAAATGAAAAGAAATTTCTATTTACTAAAATTGACACCAAATTCTCCCAGAGCGAGGCTTTTTTATTGCACTCCGGTTGGGTTGACCTTTACGATCGCTCCAAATCCAGGTAAATCGGCTGCGATATTTCTAAGTGTGGGGGTGTGCATCCGCGCTCACCCAGTTAAACAAGCCAAAATTAGATTTTTAAAAAATCTAAATTGTAAAAAAAAAAAAATCATTGTAAGTACCCCGAATATCATCCTCACTTAAGTAATTTTTTTTATTCTGAAGGTCGGAATTATTGCGAGGCAAAGTAAACAAATGTTGATTTAAAATTTATAATTTAAAAAGAGTGACAAAAATTTAATAAAAAAAACGAACAAACTTTGATTTAAAATTTATAATTTCAAGAGAGTGCCAAAAATTTAATAAAAAACGAACAAACTTTGATTTAAAATTTATAATTTCAAAAGTGTGCCAAAAATTTAATAAAAAAAACAAACACACTTTGATTTAAAATTTATAATTTCAAAAGGGTACCAAAAATTTAATAAAAAACGAACATCTTTGATTTAAAATTTATAATTTCAAAAGGGTGCCAAAAATTTAATAAAAAACGAACAAACTTTGATTTGGAATTTATAATTTCAAAAGAATGCCAAAAATTTAATAAAAAATGAACAAACTTTGATTTAAAATTTATAATTTGAAGGGTGCAAAAAATTTAATGAACCAACTTTGATTTAAAATTTATAATTTCAAAAGGGTGCCAAAAATTTAATAAAAAAACAATCATACTTTGATTTAAAATTTATAATTTCAAAAGGGTACCAAAAATTTAATAAAAAACGAACATCTTTGATTTAAAATTTATAATTTCAAAAGGGTGCCCAAAATTTAATAAAAAAACAACAAAAAACGAACAAATTTTGATTTAAAATTTATAGTTTCTTGGTGGTAATTAATATTCGTGATAAGTCATTTTACATTATTTGGGGTAAATTAACAGAAAAGATCCAAATATTACAAAAGAAGTGATTCTCTTTTTATATAGGACTTTGCATGTGCATACATTATGTATATAACTATGTTTGCTGTGCAAGAGTGACGTATATGTGATGGTGCTATTTAATTCGGTACCGCCCCAAAAATGCTATGCTGTGAGTGAATCCCTCACAGTACCTCGAATATGATCCTCACTTACGAAATGTGAATAACTCCCTGAGTTTTGGTAATTTTTCATTTTGAGAGTTGTTGCGAGGCAAGCTAAACAAATTTTGATTTCAAATTTACAATTTTAAAAGAGTGCCAAAAATTTAATAAAAAAAATATACCCAAACAAACTTTGATTTAAAATTTATAATTTCTTGGGTTGAATTAATATTTACAATAAGCATATTTACATTATCTGGAGTGAATTAACAGAAAAAATATCCTAATTTTGATCTGCAGTATATGAGCTAGATATTTTCCCGTATATATATATATATATATATATATATATATATATATATATATATATATAAATTTTGTGTATTTAGGCAGCATTTTTTCATTCATACATGTTCCATTAAATGATATAGACAAGTGTTGTCTATTTATTTTATGTAAATTCTTTTCATAACGTCTGATAAGCTTAATAACATTATCCTTAAACGAAGAAAGAAAATCACAATATTGAGCCATATTTTTTTAATCCAATCTAAGCTTACGGCTTACATAAGCCATTATCAAAGATGTCAATTACTGTACAATATATTAAACAATATACGGATAAGACAGTGATGATAGTCTATTGTGATTTTCTTTCTTCGTTTAATGTTAATGTTATTAAGCTTATCAGACGTTATGAAAAGAATTTGCATAAAATAAATATATATATATAAATTTAAATAAAAACCGACCACTTTAAGGTTCCATGTAATAAATTATTTCACCACAGCCCTTTTAAAGGACTGCGGATCATCAGACTTTACTTCCAAACAAAAAATGAAAAGAAAATTTACACATTTTTGACGGGCCGTATTAAACATATGTAAATTAACGAAGTGAGGAAGTGAGGGGAGGAGAGAGAAGACATGAGTGAGTTAGCAGACATTGACATGGTTAACTTAACGGAAGTTATATATTGATATCGAAGGGGTAGAGAAGAAAAACCCATAGAGAGGAAAAGAGATAAGGAAGTTATGAGAGAAAGTGTCACTAATTTTCTTTGTAAACAAAAGGCTAGAAACAGACGCTGTTATTTTGTTTTACTTTTAAAGTGTTATTTTGGGGGTTCATAAAGATTATAATGTTTGATATAAATTTGAATGTCTCTAAAAAGTCTACAAATGATTTAATTTGATGTTTGTTAGTGATTTAAATTTTATTTAAAATTTTTGGGATTTTCTTTGAAATAGTCGATTAGAAAAATATTCATAAAAAGTACATTAAGAGAATAAAATTTTATTTTCAAATATATGTTTACTTCTAGTAATCTTTTTTTTTTTAATCTCCTTAAAAAAATTCATTATTGATTATTAAGTTGACATCTCTATTCGTTTAAATTTTGTTCATGAATTTAAATGTTATATTAATGTTTATACTCGATTGGTGTAAAAAAACCGGATAGTACAATTTGCAAGTAAAAATATTAAACACATTGGCTTCAGTGGAAAAATCTGGAAAAAAAAAGACTAAAAACATCCGAGTAGGAAGGAAAGAATAGCCCAATATCGTAATTTCTAGTCCAAAGAAAAAAACAATCGATTAAAAACACCCAATCGAGTAAAATAAAGAAAAAAAAACGTAAAGTGCTCATTACACTAAGTAGAGTAGGGTATAAAAAATCCTAGTGAGCCAGTAACGCTTACCCTGAAGATGCATTTAGGTGAAAACTAGGTAGGTAGTCTCTGGCTCACTAGGATTATATATATATATATATATATATATATATATATATATATATATATATATTATAAAAAAACGCAGACTGTGTGTGTCTGTACGTTTATATATTGGATCGGATTTCCTACATTTTTCAACCGATTTCAACAAAACTTCACAGGACTACGTAAAATTACCTTGCGGTGGTTCTGACATTGCCAAAAATTGAAAAAAAAAATGTTTTTGCACGAAATCAATTTGAAAACACGAATAAGTCGCCAGAATGAAAGGGGGACAACTCATATCGAGTTATACTTATTATAAAACCCAGTTTTTTGTGTTTGTGTGTGTGTGTGTTCGTTTATATATGGGATTGGATTTCTTACATTTTTCAACCGATTTCAACAAAACTTCACTTTTTCTTTTGGCAGGTAGTGTTTCTTATTGTCTTGCACACTTTTTTCTTTATTTTCACATTCAGAATGCTTTAAAAATTCCATTTACAAGAGAATTGTTTATAATAAAATTCTATTCAATCGGTAGACTCATAACGATTGAAAACAATGTTTTTGTTTGAGTTTTGGTTTGACCAATTCGTAAAAAAAAAAACAAAAAACAAAAAAAAAAATAATTAAGACATGCGTGTCCGTCAACCTTAAACAAAAATCTTTGTCAATTTTATTTTTCAGTCTTTATGATGGTCAATACTTGATCTATCTCTTACTGTTACATCCCCGGGCGACGCCGGGCTCTACTGCTAGCATATATATAGATATTGGATTTCTCTGTATCCTTGGAAACGTGAATTATGATTTTTCCTGTGTCTTTAAAACCCAGTAATTTTAAAAGTTACTCCAAAATTCGCTTGAGGATGAAATAGAACTAATGTCTTTAATTTAATTACAAAATTAAATTCGAAGCTTTCAGCTTCTATTTTTGAAACATGGCTAGAACTGTGTAGCGAGAAAAAACATATTTTAAATCAATTACTTTATAATATTAATGCTCTGTAAATTTACATTGAGCACTATTTTGTAAAAATAAAAATATCTATAAGAACACCGGATTATATATCTTACTGTTCTTTTCTTTATATATATATATATATATATATATATATATATATATATATATATATATATATATATATATATGCAGCCACCTTCAAAGAAAAACGATATCTAAGGTTTAAAATGAATTTAAAAAAATGTAAAATCATTCTTGAAACATTTTATTTTAGATTTAATTTTAAGCTCATTGACTATATTTAATATTTCCGATAAACAAAACACTTTACAGTATTTCAAAACGAATTTAAATTAATTGGAAAGAGTTTTTTAATCGATGAAAATGGCTGATTTTAAAAATATTTACAATTCTCTGTCAGCCGTAATTCTCTCTATTAAAAAAAAGTCTTTCAAAACTAACATTCTTATTCTTATTTAAAACAAATTATTACTTTGAGTTAAAAATATCGCGGAAAAGCACTTTTTAAAAAGGGGGTGGGTGTTTCTAAGAGATACTGACAACTATCTCGATAGAATTATGTGTAGATTTATTTTCTATTGGCGGCATATCTACGTGAAGAAAAAATTAACTAAAATCTGAAGGTTCTAAAAAGTATTCAAAATAGAATTTAGTAATGAAAAATCCTTTGTTTTTTCTATTAATAACAAAGATTTTGACGACAAAATTGTGTGGCATTTTTTCATCACGAATGTTCACTTTTTAGTGAATCTTTGGAGGTATATATATATATATATATATATATATATATCAAATATGTGGTGCAGTTTAATTTACATTACATGAATCATTCATAATTGATTTTTTGGTATAAT